GCACGATGTCAGAGCTCTTACATTCTCCTGTTGTATAGGGATACAACTAGACTTCCTTTGTATTTCAAAACGATACAATCTTAGTACCTCTTTACTTCCAAGTGGCATGTTGCCACTACAGCTATGCCCACGAAAGGCCATTTTCACTTGAAATCATATTTGAAATCTATGATTTCAAGTGAAATTAAGACTTTAGAAATAGTTTACAAATAGTTCAAATATTTTTGTTCATTTTATTATAATAATTACTATTTTATGCCTTTCAATATGCATGCAAATCTCAAATTGACCAAAAACTTGGAAATCAAAATCAATTTTGTAATTGTTTTTGAAGAGAAAATATAGTATTCTTTGAATATGTTTATTTTTATATGAAAATAATGCAGTAAACCTTATTTACGAAATAAGAACAAATCTTTGTGTATAATAATTTCACAAAATAATAATACTTCATATTCTTTTATTATTTCCTTTTCAAGGTAGATTAGCGTACTGTTACTTTTATTATAAAATCATAATTGTGTAAAAGTTATAATACAATACTAAATATTTAGCTGGTTGTATACCATTGAAAGAGCTCATTTACGGACAAACATTATAGTATACATAATATATAATACAAAATAGCATTATTTTAAGACATTATATACCTGGAAAGTCCTAAAACTAGCTGTGAGACGAGAAAAAGACCACTTCTTTCGACCCAAATCTTTGTATTAGTAAAAAATCTCAAGTATATTTATAGTATATACTCAAGTATATATAGTATCTCAAGCAAATATCTGCACATGTTAACAGATTTAGTACCAGTTTAGGGAAGTCCGATATGACAAATCCTGTGACACAACCCCACTCGGATTCACTCCGAGAGAGGAGTTGTATCAGAGTGATAACTCCGGAGTGAGTTACCCATACCCATCTAGTATGTACACTTTATATTAGGTAAGTATATTAGATACGTATATTTAATAGTGCGGGCTCGTATGTGATTTTGCTAGTAAAATTACCTGTTTCTATTAAATTTACAACAATCAGGATTATTTGTAACTCTGTGAGTTCTATATCTTCACCCGTAATTATAAAATAATTTTATAACTGAATATTATTGATATAAGTATGTAAAAATATGAGAAATTTGAGTAAAAATAGTCTTTCTAGGCATTACTATAGGAAAGAACATGAGATTGTACTTGATATCTATAACCTTAAGTAAAAGTTTATTAATGTTATACCGCTTGATATCGAACCTGGCCAAAGTTGGGATCGATCCCGCGACTAGGGATTGCTAGCTCACATTCTTTACTATTAATTTTAAACCCATTCATTAATATTTTGTTGTTGCGTACATGCATCCACGTGTTCACATTCTCAAGCAATAAGGTCGATACAGTGCGATTTTTGTCAGAGTTTATGAAATATTCAAAGACCCTGAATAATACAAAAGATTTAGTAATATAGATTATTTTGTCATCGATAATAGATGTCTGAGGACGCATTTCATTAATATATAGTGATGCCACTAATTATATACACTTTGTAAAAACATTGTGATTAATTGTACTTTGTCAAGATGTTCAACGGACTAAAAGTTGCACCTAATCTTAGCTTCAATAACTAGAATTTAAATACACATTTTTTATAATATAGGAGTATGATATACATGATATCCAGGATATGAAGAAATTTATTAGTCAGGTATAATAAGACGTTAAAAATGAAAAATGTGAGAAAACTTTTCTTTATTCATTTTCTAATATAATTCACAGAATAGAATAAATAATTGCGACGATGTATTATAATTTTATTTGAATTTCTTTGCAATTTTAATGAAAAGTAAAATTTTCCGAATTATCAATACTTCGTTTAAACTAAAATTTGATGTTTTTTTGAGATTGTTTGAATACCTAAAATTTCAAAAACTTTTTAAATTTTCAAAACTTTTGAAATAATAATAAACAAAATTTAAAAAAATAATAAAGTTTAAAATATCACTGTCACATAAAATAAAGTATTAAGGCTTTAGAAGTCTTTGTTAAATATTGAAAAACCTACAAGATAGCTTAAAGTTTTTATAAAGCACAATGCATTTTTAACTTCTCGTAGGGTAAGTTATTGTAATGGGCCGAAAATCGGAATTGAAAATTTTTACATTTCTCGACGTTTTGAAGGTTTCTGAACGTTTTGGCATACCTCAGAAAAAATGGATGTGTGTGTGTGTGTGTGTGTGTGTATGTGTGTATGGATACAAATTTCCAGTCACGTTTTAGGGCGCACGGATCAACCGATTTGAATGGTTCAAAAAACATTCGATTCCTATTGATAGGGAAAAGAGCTGATTAGTTTTTGGCAAAGGCAGGTCCAGCCGTTTCGGAGATACGGAGCAAAGAGTGCAGAAAATAGAAATCGAATTTTTGAGAGAACGGAGTATCCGATTTGAATGATCTAAAAAACATTCAATTAGTAATGATTGGGAGAAGTGTTTATTAGTTTTTGGCAAAGGCAGGCCCAGCCATTTCGAAGATACAGAGCTAAATATGTAAAAAATGGCAGTTATTGAGAGAACTAAGCGTCCGATTTAAATGATTCAAAGAACTTTCTGCTTGTCTTAACAAAATAATTGATTTTGGAAAAAAAAATTTTGTTCCATTTTTTTTTTTTTTTTTTTTTTTTTTTTTTTTTTTAGTTTTTTGTATATCGAAAATATTTCAGATTTTATTTTTAATTCTAACTCTAGTTTCAAAATTTCTCGAACATTTCGTTACGGTATGGGAAGTTTCAGCAATTTGCCTGAAGGCACGATGCCAGAATTGCCTCAAGACAGAATTCCACTTACAGCTAGTTTATTATTTATATTGTAAACACAAACTGAATGTGTTGGAACTGTTTAGTACGCCAGAGGAAAGGTTAATAACGTTATTAGGTTAATAAACTATGGGGTACACCATACACTTATTGAAGATTTTTAACAATAAAAAATATGCGTGTCATTTTCAACTTTTTGTTTTACAAAATACGCAAAAATGTTTATGAATAACAAAATTATAATTAGTTGAACAAGCAAAGTTAGATTTCAATTCTGCGAGAATTACTTGAAATATATAAAATAATATATATATATATATATATATATATATATATATATATATATATATATATCTCGCCTGTGCCTATTGTCTATCAAGCAATCGCCAATGTTTATTTAACTAAACGTCATAAAACCACGTACATTTTCTCACATTAGAGTTAATATTGACTCATATCGTCTTGGATGCGATAAAATAAATTTTGCACATACGCCGAAAGGCATAAAGAAACTTTTCAAGTAGCGGACTTTGGACCGGCATATCTAAGTTTGAAATTATTACGTCAAACGTGTTATGCCATCTTATCAGACATTATTGTTGAGGTGTTAATTTTTAGATAAATTATAAAATAAAATTCTCCGCTAATTTTTGATTGTTGGTAGCAATATATAGAAATGTACTACAAGAATTGAATCTCAATTTCATAAAAATTCAGCAGATCGAACGACTCCATTGATATGATTGCTATAGAAAATATACTGTAAATGATTTAAGTGGGCAACAGATAATTTGCAAATGATTTATTTATGTTACTAATGTCACCAATGTTGAAATACGCAATTTTTCATTTCTATAGTGTGCAGTACTTATAGAATCCACAAATTGGTATTTTGAAACTTGTTTTAAAATATGAGGCATAATTTGGATGCAAAGACTGGGAAGTGGAAAGTAAATTTTTGTAAAGGTTTTGTAAACTATGTTTAAATTTTATTTTTGCAGTGAATACTATTTGTATATTATTTACAAATTAAATAGCAAAACGTACTAATTAATTATCAAATAAATATCTAGCGTTATATATATATATATATATATATATATATATATATATATATATATAATATCGTCCAAATCACGCATTGCAACATCCATTTATGCGAATCGTAATTATATTTATTCAGCTACTTAGTTCACCTACTTTATCATGAATTGTTTACAAACAAAACATTCTAATTTAATCATTTAATAAACGCGATGCTAAAGACCTTGGTAAAATGCTGAAAAACTAAAACCTTGAACTTGTCAATGTCAAAAAAATTGTCCATCGTCGAACTTCGACATATGATAGCTTGAATATACTCAATAATTATCCGGTATCATAAAATATGGAAAACAGTTGATGAATCGATGACGGAATGTTTAAGTTTTTCTTAATTATTTTATGTAATATTGATTTTACAATTATTGTAATTTGGTGTTTGAAATGTTTTGAGTAAGATGAAATCATTAACTTGCGAAAAATAGTTAAAGAAATACATAAAGCGTTGTAAGCTATGCGATTACTAAGAAAATAGTAAAGTAAAGCCTTATGCTCATAATTTCCCGGCATTTTTAAATTTAAACTACATATCATATGAAGGATTTTTATATCGATTCACGGTCTGAAATAATAATTCTACTGTACATTACAATATCGATATATAATAAAATACTGATCTATAATCGAGTTGCTAATTTTATGTTGGTTTGTCCAATATTAAATATTATTTTATGTATACAATAACCGTTCGTTCAACATTTTATTTCCCAATTAGGCAATTTAAAGCGTTATATTCTGTAGTTTATATATGCAGAATTCAAGGACGCAAAGTATCTGTATCACATAACTCTAATTTGTATAAATATCATTCAATTAGCAAAGCAGTATCACTGCGTTTAACCGTTCACCATTCGAATCAAACAGCATTTTGAATGAACTATATCCTGTGGCATACTTTAATCGTTTCGCCATAAAATTGCCAGAAATTGTGATATTTTCGGACGCCTGTCCACTTGCGCAAACAATTATGTTAATACCAAGTCACGCAATCTAACATTTCCGGCAAAACAAATATTTGCATCTTCAGTTCCACAGACTGAGTACAAACACAAACCATTACTAAAATTATGAAATTTGTTAGCAAATAATATATTCACCTTCGCCATAATACTTTGAGCAAGTGCAGCGGTGATCTTTTTAAATCGCTTGGTTTCAAATCCAAAAACTCGATGGATTGCGGTATCACTTTAGTAACCATCGTTGACAGGTAATATACACAGAAAGAAACACGATTAATATTAACAACTTTTAAGCTACATGTATAATTATATTTATATGCACTGAATAAGTATTAAATACACTTTGTTAACAATACTAGACAAATGTTATATGTATCCGAGTCGTTTGAGTGAATGACGTTTCAGAACTGACAGCCAGTCACCTGGCTAAGCGTGCTTGGTCTTCAAGCCCCATTCTGTAAACCGAAGATTCCCTCTCTCCGCCACGTGTTCTGCAATCCATATTAACACACACAAGTGTATAAGAAAAATACTGAGATATTAAATCAGGGATGAATTGACCATATACGACAGATTATGCGGAGATAAGAGCTGTTTGTAAACGTAATTTATCAAATAATAGTAATTAGGTACATTATATCATTATAGTAATCAATAAATTTGTTATGTTTGTTATCGTTTCTAATTTAATCGCAAAAATAAAGTTTATCAAATATGTATTATTAGATCATTTATTTTGATTAAGGTCATCGAGGATGAGAGTTTTAAAGAACTTATCTTTGCCAAAATGTTAACTGGAAGTCTTTGCGCTTTTAATTTTGTAGTCTTTGTAATCTGTTTATGTTAATCGAAGAAATAATTCTAATGTAATATATATATATATATATATATATATATATATATTTGAGGCCGTCAAGCGCACTGCCTCGTGTGGACGAGTTCGCAGGTTTAAGCCCCAGCTCTGGGATAACCTGATCGTGCAGCAGCGATGTTCGGTTTTTACTTGAAAATATAGATCAATAATATATTTCCAACTAAAAATAGCCCATTTCGGGCACAGCAGTGTGAACTGGTAATGGAAAACCTGTCGACCTATTCTTCCCTGAATCGAGTTAAAGTTTAACTCTTGAACCTGCCCTGCAGTACTACCCATTATATATATATATATATATATATATATATATATATATATATATAATGTTTTTTATCCATGCAATGCTGCACAAGAACAAATTAACAGAATATTTGATCTGATGTCTAAATATGCTACAGGTTTTTGGAAATAATATACCCCAGATGTAGAAAAAATTAAATACACAAAAAATTAAACATATCCTTGCCATAACATTGTTCTGTTATACGTCAGAATCGGTCCATAAGAAAAATGATATTAAACAGGATTACTAGAAAGTTAACAAGTTTGTCAAAAGCTAGTGCAAGTCATTATGTTAATTTTTAAATAATTTAACCCTCCGTCGGTCGGAGTGGTCTGGCCAGACTTTTTTCGACTTCAAATAAAAAAAAATACTTTTAGTAATTTTATCGACTTAAAATTTTTGGACTTTTCCTAAAATTTTATTCAATCAATGAAAAAATCATGATGAAAAAATGTGTGGTCCAGCCAGACCACTTCGACCGTTCGAAGGTAAATAAATATCCGACCGACGGAAGGTTAATAAACATTCTTAAGTAGTTCATATAGGTAATACATGAATAGCATTTAAATAATGTTTATTTCAAAGATAAAGGAATTAATATTCAAACGCATTTTTCAGGTTTTTATATTAAAAAATATAATTATTTATTTTAAATAATGCAATATGTTCATATTAAAATATCTTGAATTTTATTTGTTTTTTTTTTTTTCAATTTGCACTTGACAATTTTAATTGTAAGAATTTTAACCAAATTTACGGTCTGGCCTGATATTAACTGCCAAGTCCAACCCTGACGTTAACTACATGACCATGCACATGACCTGTGCAGAAGAAAGCCGTAAGAATAAATGTTCGTAGGCTGCTCAAGTAGCGACAACGAAGCACTTTCTTCGATCTGCGGCCTTGTATTGTTTATGATTTCTTGTTTATATATATAATCAAACTACTTATAAGAATATTTACATAAACAATTAAAACATTGACCTGAGTTCTACAAGCCTGTTCTAATTATGCATTGCATTGTATTGTTTGATGAACGCTTGATTTTGTCATTATACGAAATGTTCGATATAAATGGGATTGTTTCTCAAAACTGTTTAAAAAAATTGAATAACTAAATTTCCATTTAAATTAAATAATTGAAATCAAAGAAAAAAATTAATAATGAAAATCATCTAGCCCTACAGGTAACTCCACAGGCTACATATAAAAAGTTTCTGGAAAACCTGTTTCGCAAGATCAAGATTTTGCTGAAAGAAATAGTAATGAAAATAATTGCTTCACAAGGTTTTTATTATAAAGCTGAACTGGTCAAAATAACTGAATCTAATAATTTTACACAATTTTTTTTAAGTTGTTTAAGAATTTAATACTTATAATAATTTGATTCGGTCCGATTAAACAAACACGTAATACATTTAATATTTTAAATGTATGTAATTTACTTAAATTATATCTGTTATATAAATTTAAAAACTTAATCAGTCTATCAGTTATTTATATTTTGGAATATTTTATACATCTACAAACTGGAACTCAATTGTTAGAACTACAGTGTGTTTTTGATCAAAAATATTACAAAATTGACAATATTTTATGAGATTTTTTATTAGATTATATTAATCCAATACTGATGAGAAATATATTGCAGAAATGACTATTTTGTGTAAATCTATTGAATACTGCTAGATATGAGAAGTTGGCCAATGTAAACCCGGAACCACCGATTGCTGTCACATCTGGTATTGCATTAGTCTTGTAGTAGACATACATAGTATCGAAATATATTTGTATTTGAAAGAAATTCCATAATACGGAATTGCAATAAATGTATAACATAAAACTGATAAAAAACGGACTATAGTATATTGATTAAAGTCATACGTTACGATTTAGTTTGAAAAACAATTTTTTTGGACCATATATTCTACAGCTGCTTTCCTAACCTACATCTCAACCTAGATATTTTCTCAAGAGGAAAAACCAGCGGTCAGTCACTTTTTTTGTGTGTAGATTATATATAGTGCAAGGCGGAGTACAAAGGTCGAATTTGACTTTAAGCAATTATATTGTAAAAACCAAACCAATTATACCACAACATATTACACATCTCAAACAAACATCTATCTGACTATGTTCAGTAAAAATTTGTTACCTAGTGCTTTTTACCCCATAGGCGGGGTAAAAAAGAACGTCCAGAGCGCGAACAGGCACATTTCTAATTTAAAAAAAAATAACTTTAATTACAAGTAATAGCTACATTCATCCAATCCAGAATATAAATTGCATACATTCTTTACAGAGAACAGCACTATATATATTATATACCCTTGATATTGTATTTCGTCAGAAATATTCATCAGCAGAATTAAATAACCATTTATGTAATTTATCTTTTGTAAAATAGCTCTTTTAACTCTGGAATGGTATTGTGCTTAACAAATGATTTTTTGTTCTTTTTTTGTCATTATATATTTTGTGATATTATCAAAGGTTATTTCAGAAAATATAAAAATCTGTTTCAGTAACAAATAACATTATTATTATTCCAAAATTTCTATAACAAAAGTACCAACACCATTCATTTTTGTCTGCATTTACGCCTCGGAAGCGTGCAGATACCGTTCTATGGTAAATTCAATTTATTGTTTTATTTAATATTTTTTCTTGTCTACACCTTTGCCAGGGCAAAGGTTTAGTTGTTTCTTTATACCCCATCCATGTGTAAGCTTTTATATAGTTTATATAAAAGAAACGGTTAAATATAACTTAAAATTAACAATACAGTTTACAAAATAATTAAATAACGTATATTTAAAAATTATATTAAAGTCTCGTAAATAAGCAACTCTGCTCCCAAACAAAAAAAAATAACAACAAAAAATATACTTTTGTTATAGATTTTCAAACATTGCTGTTTATCTTCCGATAGCAACGTCGTAAGAATTAAGGTGGTGGCTAATTGTACGTTATTTTGCCTCTACATTTCAATATCGTTGTTAAAAATTCTTAACTATACTTGCTTTTGAGAAATCTCGCTCTACTCTGTTGTAGATGTATATGTAACTGTGTTGAACGTATTTCTTTTACATGCAGCGATGACGACAAACGCGATTTTTTACTTTTGTCTTTGATATTAAGTGAAAATTTGATATAATGCTGCCTGATACCGACCGACCTTGGAATCAATCTTGGAACTAGTTTGCTAGCCCACGTCTTCTACTGTTTATACCACGGCTTGTTAAAAAAAGTTGAAACATGAAATTTATATCATTGCAGTTGATAAACTTTACCACCAAACATGATAAGGTCTATTGTTATAAAATCTAATTGTTCTGCACAAACTAGACTTCTATAATTACCATTGCAACAATTGCTTTTATCATGACACATATCCGAGCAATAACAGACTGCTTTTTTACAAAGTTAAATATTTTTAATACATATAGTTACATTAACCAGTTAACTGTGTCGCTCTCATCGAACAGTGCGCACAGTTTTGTGTCGTCCGAACCGAGTTTATGACGATTATATTTGTTAATTACAGAATAACTTGAATTGGACGAAAAATATGAGTTTAATTTACAAAATTGAAGAATGTTATTACTGCATTTTATATCTTTGTCAACTAAATTCAATTAAATATTACGCATGTAAACGTAAGAAAGTAAAAATTGTTTCTCATGAAAAGACTAAACTATTTTCGAAATAAAAAATATAAAATATTATTTCAATAGATAAATCTTGATTCTTGTTAATTAAGTGTATTATTCCCATATTTAGCAAAGTTCTTTCAATTTGCCTAAAGTTAAATGCCACTTACGACTACTTATATTGTACAGCCATATCCTCGAAATACCTACTATGTATTTCAGAGTAATTTTAACTTCCCGAAGGTGGGGTTTATGTTTTCATCAAAAAATCCAATTCGCTTATTTTTCTCGACGTTTCAAGCCATTGTGAATCGAATGAGACCAAATTTGGAAAAAGTATGTGTGTGTGTATGTGAACAGATTTTTTGCCGTAAATGGACGTTTTCTCAAAAACGGCTAGACCGATTTAAAAAAATTTAAAAGCCATTTGATGTATCTCAATGAGGACTGTCAGTTTTGTGCGACGATCTGCTAAGCCGTTTCTTTGTAATTTGGAAAAAACTTTCTTAAACGTGTTAAACGAATCGATTTTAAAAAATCAAAAACTTAAGCCGATTTTTATGAAAGAACTTACTGAAATATTACG